GGGGGTGCGGGCCGCACTGCCACCATTGGAAGGATGACACCAAAATGACTGACCGTCATTTTGGTGTCACCCCCCTATGAAATGTCGGGCACTCGGTCACGGACCGAGAGCCTGACAGTGTCAGGAGAGAGGAGGGGACACGGCGGCATACCTCATCCCGCCTGGTGAACGCCCCCTCCTCTCCACCAGGATGGCCGCCGGCAGGCATCAATAAGACGACTGCGCATGCGTGATGATGTCATGGCAGGGTGTCACCCGGTCTCCGCCCCCCGGGTGACAACCAGCCTCGGGATGCCCCGGGATACACCAGCCAATATTACCTCTAGAGTCAGTATGAGCACTCACAGTCTCCTGCAATACCACTAGCCGCCACTGGAGGGAGACTCACCCAATCCTACATTTGCCTCTGAGATTCACCCCGAGGTGCCCTGCCGGATTCACCGATCCCTGCCTGGCAATGAGATCCGTCCCGGCCTATGGTGACCTCCACACACTGCTACTTACTTGCATCAGATTGGCCGTCTCTTCTCTGCCAGTCAACAATACAAAGAATCCGGGAACCCCACCAGTTACCCTGAACTTATAGTCACTGACAATACAATACACCTACACACACCACATTCACACCACATTCACACCACTGTCTCCTCAGAGTAATTGAGAGAACTCAGCGTAATAATTATTATATTTATTATCCTTCAGCGGGCAGCGCAATAAAACGTATACATCTCCATTATTATAACCCACAGATCAAAGTGGGCGACACCCCCTCAGACCACCCAATGGGATGGAAGTAGGCGGCTCCTGCATATTATATAGAAGTAACACTAGCAGCATTTTTGTTTTCAGTCACAATCTTCATAACCTCATAATGAGTCCACTTGGGAGGTCTGTATCAGGAAGTGAGAGTTCTGGGTCTGGAAGTGATAGTTCTGAATCAGGAAGTGATAGTTATGTATCAGGAAGTGAGAGTTCTGGGTCTGGAAGTGATAGTTCTGGATCAGGAAGTGAGAGTTCTGGGTCTGGAAGTGAGAGTTCTGGGTCTGGAAGTGAGAGTTCTGGGTCTGGAAGTGAGAGTTCTGGGTCTGGAAGTGAGAGTTCTGGGTCTGGAAGTGAGAGTTGTGGATCAGGAAGTGAGAGTTGTGGATCAGGAAGTGAGAGTTGTGGATCAGGAAGTGAGAGTTGTGGATCAGGAAGTGAGAGTTATGGGTCTGGAAGTGATAGTTCTGGATCAGGAAGTGATAGTTCTGGATCAGGAAGTGATAGTTCTGGATCAGGAAGTGAGAGTTGTGGATCAGGAAGTGAGAGTTATGGACCTGGAAGTGATAGTTCTGGATCTGGAAGTGATAGTTCTGAATCAGGAAGTGATAGTTCTGAATCAGGAAGTGATAGTTCTGGATCTGGAAGTGATAGTTCTGAATCAGGAAGTGATAGTTCTGGATCTGGAAGTGATAGTTCTGGATCTGGAAGTGATAGTTCTGAATCAGGAAGTGATAGTTCTGAATCAGGAAGTGATAGTTCTGGATCTGGAAGTGATAGTTCTGAATCAGGAAGTGATAGTTCTGGATCTGGAAGTGGTAGGTATGCATCTGAAACTTAGATTCCTGGTCTCGGCTGTTGTTCTTTTATGTTCAGAGTCCAGAATCCGACACTCTACACCTACCAGAACCAGAAGAACCTTAACAAGACCCAGATCATAGGATACACTGTATACACCGTCCCCAATGCTGCCAGACACGACCTCACCGTATATATAATACAAATATATCAAAATATCTCTACTTCTGGGTTCAATCATTAAAAGTGCAAACAATCTTTCTCCGTCCTGAGCATGATACGTGTGAAATGTACATGTATGACTTCATGGGAGGTTCTCCGTCCTGTGCAGAACATGTATGACTTCATGGGAGGTTCTCCGTCCTGTGCAGAACATGTATGACTTCATGGGAGGTTCTCCGTCCTGTGCAGAACATGTATGACTTCATGGGAGGGGAGTCTCTGGATCGGCTCGGATATCCCCCAATCACTGGCTTTGGGACCGTTCCTGGCGCCGCCGCTCTTCAATCAAAAGGTCCTGAAAGAGACAGAGAAGTTCTGGTCACCGCCAATAATCCTTCCGTGACCTTCCGGCATCAACTTTTTTTTTTTTAGTTTTTGTTTTTAAAACCCTAACTAGGGTTGCGCCGGCACCGAGTATTTGCCCGATATCGGCACCGGCGGGGTACTCCCCCAAATGCTCCGATACCAGAACTTCCGGCCAGAGGAAGATTTTCTGTGACCGGCAGTGCCGTAGGGGAACACGGAGCCGGCTTACTGTGTGATCAGCAAGCTGTGTGGCGAGTAATGACCCGCCTCCCGGCTTCCTGATTGGCCGGGAAGCCAGCTCAGTGCTGATTGGCTGGAAACCTGGTTTCACGGCCAATCACAACAATCAAGCTGGCCAAATGACATGGAGCCAGCTTCCTGCCAGATTACCCACCGGCCGGGTGGTATGTCCTCACCCTCCGCCCAATGGGTAATCAGGTAGTTGCACAGAGCTGACACCAGAGGGCGCCCCTGTCTGGGGGAAGGTCGGTCACCGGTAGATCAGGTAGTTGTACAGAGCTGCCACCAGAGGGCGCCCCTGTCTGGGGGAAGGTCGGTCACCGGTAGATCAGGTAGTTGTACAGAGCTGCCACCAGAGGGCGCCCCTGTCTGGGGGAAGGTCGGTCACCGGTAGATCAGGTAGTTGTACAGAGCTGCCACCAGAGGGCGCCCCTGTCTGGGGGAAGGTCGGTCACCGGTAGATCAGGTAGTTGTACAGAGCTGCCACCAGAGGGCGCCCCTGTCTGGGGGAAGGTCGGTCACCGGTAGATCAGGTAGTTGTACAGAGCTGCCACCAGAGGGCGTGAGGGCGCCCCTGTCTGGGGGAAGGTCGGTCACCGGTAGATCAGGTAGTTGTACAGAGCTGCCACCAGAGGGCGCCCCTGTCTGGGGGAAGGTCGGTCACCGGTAGATCAGGTAGTTGTACAGAGCTGCCACCAGAGGGCGCCCCTGTCTGGGGGAAGGTCGGTCACCGGTAGATGGGGCCGCAGTGCAGACTGGGAGTGATCTGATCTCATAGGAAATAAGGAAAGCCGCCATTCCCGACCTCTGCTTCTGAAGATGGCCGTGGACTCATCCTCGTCCTTTGTTCATTTCAGTACGTTCAGATGGTGACTCAGAAGAAGAATATCAGCGCAGCGTTTTGACATTCCTGATCTCTATTATTGTTCCCTAGTCACTGACTCAGATCGAAGTATTAGAGAATGCGAATCAACATGACAGCCAGGAGCTCAGCATTGCCAGACAGAGGCCGGCCCCTATAAATCTCCAAAACAGGTTTCCTTTGCAGGTCCATACATGTCTGCCGTACATGGACATTTCCCCATGAGCTGTCCCTTTAAAGTCCCTAAAAGTAGAAAGAGGACACAGGACACAACACAGGAAGTGTGCAGAGGACATGTGACACATAACACAGGAAGTGTGCAGAGGACACGTGACACAGGAAGTGTGCAGAGGACACGTGACACAGGAAGTGTGCAGAGGACACGTGACACAGGAAGTGTGCAGAGGACACGTGACACAGGAAGTGTGCAGAGGACACATAACACAGGAAGTGTGCAGATGACATGGGACACATAACAGGAAGTGTACAGAGGACATGGGATAGATAACACAGGAAGTGTGCAGAGGACACGTGACACAGGAAGTGTGCAGAGGACACGTAACACAGGAAGTGTGCAGATGACATGGGACACATAACAGGAAGTGTACAGAGGACACGTAACACAGGAAGTGTGCAGATGACATGGGACACATAACAGGAAGTGTACAGAGGACACATAACACAGGAAGTGTGCAGAGGACACGAGACACAGGATCCATCCTCCACACACATTGCTGTTCCCTCCAGGCTTGGACTCACAATGAACAGGGTGCAGGCCATCACCATGGCTTTCATGGAGACATGGAGGTCCATCGGGAAATTCACAGCATAGTTTTCTTTTGTGCTGAACATCTCCTTGCAGAATCCCCGCCACACACGTGTGATGAGCCCGACTTGCGTTGCTTTGTCAGCAGACAGAATCTGGTGAGAAGAGAGAAGATCATCAACAATGACCACCGGGGTGTCCACATGGAGAACATTTATTAGGAGAGGAGATCCTCAACAATGACCACCGGAGTGTCCACATGGAGAACATTCATTAGAAGAGGAGATCATCAACAATGACCACCGGGGTGTCCACATGGAGAACATTCATTAGGAGAGAAGATCATCAACAATGACCACCGGGGTGTCCACATGGAGAACATTCATTAGGAGAGAAGATCATCAACAATGACCACCGGGGTGTCCACATGGAGAACATTCATTAGGAGAGGAGATCATCAACAATGACCACCGGAGTGTCCACATGGAGAACATTCATTAGGAGAGGAGATCATCAACAATGACCACCGGAGTGTCCACATGGAGAACATCAATCAGGAGAGGAGATCATTAAGAATGTGAATTCAGTTGGGAAGATGTTTTTCTGCCTCTCCGCCAACAACCAACCAATACAAAGCTCCCGGTGGCGGTGGGTAGGATTCGTGGCATATATTCGCTGGTCAGGGCAATTATTTCCTAAAGAAAGGAGCATCGCACCATCTGTGTTCTTAGACTGACCTTAAACTGGAGGTCAGACATGAAGCCTTCCCCCCATCCCGGACCTTTCACTTTGAGACACACGAGTCCCAATGGATCTAAGATGTCAAAGTTGAAGGAAAAACTCGTCCATTCTTTGTATATGAAGCCGAGGAGCTGCCCGGAGGACGTGGAGACCTGCAACTAGAACCATTCATTGTTATAAGAGGCTGGTCACCATATCCAGGACTCTAGCAGGACCATCCGCCAGGAATATCTACATCCATTACCCGTCATTATTATCTAGATTACACATCTACAATGTTACCAATCCCATCGGAACAAACCTTTTATGGAACCAGCATTAGTGGACCGAAACTTAAACCCAACTCAACCAAGAGGACCACGTTTTATATTTGATCAGTCCTTGCAGTCCACAAATCTGTGACTTTGTTCTCACCAGTCTTAGAGGTCCATGTTTTGTATATAACTAGTCCTAGAGGTCCATGTCTTGTATATAACTAGTCCTAGAGGTCCATGTCTTGTATATAACTAGTCTTAGAGGTCATGTCTTGTATATAACTAGTCTTAGAGGTCCATGTCTTGTATATAACTAGTCTTAGAGGTCATGTCTTGTATATAACTAGTCTTAGAGGTCCATGTTTTGTATATAACTAGTCCTAGAGGTCCATGTCTTGTATATAACTAGTCTTAGAGGTCCATGTCTTGTATATAACTAGTCCTTAGAGGTCCATGTCTTGTATATAACTAGTCTTAGAGGTCCATGTCGTGTATATAACTAGTCTTAGAGGTCCATGTCTTGTATATAACTAGTCTTAGAGGTCCATGTCTTGTAGGCTACCAGAGGGTTATATCATAAGATATGGACACATAAATGGAGCATGAAATAGATACTACTGAGAGGGTTGTCACTTATTTTGCAGGTCCCCAGACAGTCATTCTTTCATACCTTGGTGTCACAGCTACAGCAGTCTGAAGGCACAAGAAGGTCGAGGACATCATATCCTTGGGTGTTTTGCACCTTTAAATCCATCCGAGGACCACAGCACTCCCGCTGCTCCATGGCTTTGTACACAAGTTGACCATCAGTGCCAAACAAGTCATAGGTGCAGTAGCTCTGGAATATGCTTTGCCCTGAAATGACCGAAGAAGAATTTCATGAGACCGAACGTCTTCAGGATTCTGCAAAGA